AAAAAAAAAAAAAAAGCATAGAATGTCTTTTACATTTGAAAGGTTCAGAAAATTTTAAGCTGTTAAACACGATAGTTTGACCTCATAATATCAATATAATAACGACTAGACAAATTTTAATTATATTTATATAGGTCACCAGACTAAATTTGCAGTTAAATGAAAAAACTAAGTTACTGCACATACATATATTCAGTGGTTTCAATCTCAAATTCTAAGAAACAACGGTAATGACAAACCCAACATTGAAGTTTTTAAATAAACGAATAAAGCAAACTAATTCAGGCTATACGGAGCAAAAGAAACAATTTTATATAGAGGGTAAATGGAAGACAAGTTAGTGAAAAAGAACAAATTAGAAAGCAAATAAAAAAGAAATAAAATAAGTAAATAAAATAAGCACGAGTATTTAATACGAAGAAACAAGCGAAGTAAATTGGGCAAAATTACAGCACAGATTCTTGTGTAATTGCAAAAATTTTTTGTCAAAAACTGTGCTTAATGAAAATATAGTGACTTGCTTAGAATAAGTAACTGTGTAAAGTACAGGAATTTCTGTTGGAAGAGATAGGTTTGTAAATTTTTTATCTGCCATTTTTAAGAATATCTCTACTCAAGTAAATAAATTTTTATCTTTTCTTCAAAAGAAAAAAAAATTCCATTTTTATCCTCAAACTTTAAAAGTCACTTGTTTTTAATAAATTTTTTTCATTTTTTTATGCAAAACTTTTATTTATACTATACTGCAGTTACACATAAACTGTATTCTTTTCTCCTATTTACTTCTCAATAGCTCATTTCCACCACTATTCTCCTATTTCCTTCGACACTATTCTAAAGAGTACAGGAATAGCCATATGCAATAAGCACCAAATAGATACACTTTGTTAGTAACTGCAATCTTTCTGAAAACATCACAAGTTTCCAACCGTAAAAAAACTGATTGGAAAATTTCTGTTTTTGGCGCATAATGTTAAAAATCCAATTTTGGCTTTTGCCAAAGGTAAGCCAGCGAATAAGAGGCGATGATCTGTTAGGATCATTCAATTCCCTATCCTCCTACAGCGACAGAAGGCTAAAGCATATACAGTTTTTAGACAAATAACTGAGAAGCTGGTAGATATAACTAATTATTGGCTGCAATAATATACCTTTTTTATAAATACAATGTGTGTGAATATCATAAATTACGCGATATTTTGCCGTTAGAATTTTTTTTTTTTCCAAAACGTTTATACTCTACATATCTGCTTAATAAAATTTACACATAAATATATATATATATATATATATACATATATATATGTAAAATATTTCTCGCTATAACGCTCTTAATAATAGATCATTTATGACTTCGCTGAAATGCGCAATATTGGTCCAAAAGACTACTCAAATTCAGTGTCAGGAACTAGCAGGGAGTGCCAAGTGCTCAAGTAACTTTTTTTTCAAAAGGCAATGCGTTGTAGGTTCACAAAATAGTAATTTTTTTTTTTCCAAAAAATCTTTCGTTAAAAATCTTTTTTTAGCAGTAAAAAAATCTATGTCAAACAAATATCTGTTGCCAAATTAGGCTGAAGCATGCGACAGTAAAACAATACTTTAGTGAAATTGGAACAATTACACTGACGCACAAACGCCGCTTCAGTTTGAGATCGTCTGCAGAGCAGCTCCACTGATCGTACAGTAAGTTGCAACATTCAGAGAACACCATTTTGCAACCTCAGTGCAAAAATGCTCTCAAAAAAAGCTTCTCTTCCGGAAAATTTTAACGGGGTTTTCAGAAATAAATGTTTTTAAATTTTATTTTTACTCTAATCTTTCAATCCTCTGTCTGATATAAGCATTTCGGCATTCTCCAAATATTTGGAAGATAAAATCTCAAAAGAAACAAAACACTAAAAGATTTTTAAAAATGAACAGAACCACAATGCCCTAAGTTATGAGTAAATATGGCGTTCTCATTCACTCAGGTCTGGTTTTGCTGCTGCCGTAATTTTTGAAGCACATAATTTTGATTCCAGAATCAAATGCAGGCTCCAAGAATCATTAAAGTTTGAAAAGAAATCTAGAAGGTTTCGATTAAAAAGTTTGCAAAATTACATGGAATAACTTTAAACAAATACATATATTTTTAAAGTTTCAGAGTTGGCGCGAACAATTAAAGTTGAAAACATTCTTGCCAAATTTTTACAATAACATCTGCAAATGACAATAAAGTTAAAAAGTTGAATAAAAATTTCTCAGATTCCTATAATTTTTGTCTACGGAGGAGTTCTTCAAACAAGCTGATACGTCTAGCACTTGACCTTTTTGAATCAAAAAACACTGACACTGTAAATAACAAGTGACTAAAACTTTTTAATCAGGAAGAGCACTTTGATCTTAGATGCAACTTCATGAGGGTCACGGAAAGACAAAGAGGAACAGTTATCTCTTTTAAAAAGTCTTTTTTGTCCCAGCACTTCCCTGGTACCTTCCGGCTTGCTGTATGTTCCTTTGCAATTTCAGAAGCACTATCAAAAATCGAGTGCGTAACATTACTCCAACTTATCTGTGAGGCATTATTTGGCGAACAATAAACAGTGATCAAAAAATGTTTTTGAAAGCTTTGGTTTTGGTTTTTAGACTCCCTAAAGCGATAGAAGAAAACAGGAGGAATGTAGACGAATAAAGTAAAACACCGCCATAAATTAAAAAAAAAAAACTTTTCGCTGCCGTTTAATATTTCAAAACAATCTAATTGGAGGTCAATTTTTTTAGTAGAGCTTTAAAAAAACGTATCTTTTCTCACAAAATTTATCACTGCTGCTTGTCAAAAACGATTTTGGCAGGAGACCTCTAGCCTCTGTCAGAAACCCTTAGGAAAATTAGCAGCTGTGAGAAGATAGAAAGTAAATCCACAATGATAGGACGTTTAAAACCTTTCAAAGACACCGTAAAAATTTTAAAAAAACATCATCTCTTCTGAAGTCATGAAATTCGAAAACAATATCGTGCATCACAAGCTACGACGAATCACATCAAGCAAAACTATAAAAACTTCTTATTCTCACTAAAACCGCCGAACATTTTTAATGCGCAGAAGTCATTCCCTTAAAACAGCGAAAAAACCTCTATTGCAATTATTGCACATTTTTCAAAAATGCTACATTATTTGTCAGATCTTTACCGCTTTCATCTGCCTCTGGTGCCAAGATTTTTGTTTCCACTAACTTAAAAATTTCTGTATTTTGTATATCAATTTTTTTTAAGGGTGAGTTTCAAAAAAAGTCGTTTAAGAATTTGTCTGCTTTATAGAAATATCATATTTACTGCTTATGAGTTTAATTCTCCACACTGAGCAAAACCCTAATTTCACGTCCTTCATAATTTCTTAATTAAATGAATGTCCCATAATCAAATATAAATTTTTCGTGAACTCAACACTTTTAAAAAGTCATTCTATTTGTATAAGTTAAAAAGCAACATTAAGCGAATTATTCTTATTAAAGTTTGTTGCACCAATTTTAGAAAAGTAACTGTTTATAAAAGCGTTTTGCGGCACACAGATTCCTTTGTAGACAGGGACAGATAATTGAATAAAGAAACATTAAATAGTTTATAAAGTTTAGTCTATACGCTGCTAACTCAGGCCAAAAAAAACTTAGCTTTTTTCTGTTTTTTTAGAATAATGTTAAAGGAAAAAAAAACTACTTCTTGAGCCCTCGTTTGTCAATCGCCCAACAGCAGTAAACCAGGCCAACAAATATACTAAAATCTGCTACCTTATATAGACTGACAAAGTATTAAAACTGGCAAGGATAAGATATTTACAGTTAGTTATACGAAAAAAAACAACGAATTTTACTGAGATGGGAGAAATCTGCTAAGTTTATAAAAACTAAAAGCATTTATAAAGATAATTTTTCCAAACAGTATGCAAATCTAAACCTAATCTTAGCAAACTTTTTCTTTCCGTTTCTATATATACTGCTGGCTCAAAAATATTCATGAGCAATAAAAATTTTCTCCTCTCAGGGTTACTCTACTAATGGAGAAATGCTACCGCTACAAAATATCACTGTTCAACTAAGTGTGGCTAAATTTTAAGAAATAACTGCCAAACAAATGTCTTTATAAGCTTTTCTACAGTTTTTTCAGCAGTGATGGTTAAATGCAACAAGTAACAGTGTTATCAACAAAAATATTCAACAGAAGAAAATTTCACATTCACTTTATACATACAGAAGAGCAGTGCAGAGACAATAAACCACTGCGGGATTAAGCAAAAAAGTATCATTTCTTTTCAAGAAAGTGCTAGAAGAATATACGCAAACCTAAGTGAAAGCAAATACAATATAATGAGGATAAATGTT